TATTTTATTTGCTTAGACTAAGATACTAGAATTGTGACATTGTAGATTTGTAGTTGAGTGAAAGAGAAGAAATGTGGCATGCGGTTTTTTTGAATCAGGATAAAGTGATAACAAAGATATTGAAATTGTTTATTTGTAATGGAAACATCGAAGTAATACATAAATTGGAGAAAGGACATAGAACTTCAAAAGAAATTAAGCATTTATTTGATCAGAAAAATTATTTACAAATCGATGGTATAAAAGACTCCATAATAGAAAACAGGGGAAAAAAGTTATAGCTCTTTTTCATCTCTACCTCCTCAAATTCAAACTCCAACTGTTTCACACATTATTCCGACTGATCTTTTCCTTTCGACCACCACAATACTAAGCTCAAGTAGCAACTATTCAGTGAATTTAAGACTGTAACCTGATTGTCATTCCTCATCATCCCACACAGGGGCGGAGCTACAGTAATTAGACACCCTTCATCGAAAAATTATATTGTGATGTGAATGTAACTAAAATGCTAATGTGGATAAATATAATTTTGGACAACCTAGAGTCAAGTTCATGGCTTAACTCAGTGGTCAAATGCCTAAAATTAGACTTAAGCAACATATAATTAGTTCTATAGTCTTTATAAGAGAAATTCATTTTTATACATAAGATTTTAAAATGTCTTTTTTCTAATTCAATTAAAAAGTGGCAAAGATGTTTGATTTTCTCTTAATAATCTCTAAAAGTAAAAAAAAGTATCAATAGCCAATTGAATTCTTAATAAAAACAAAAAACCCTTCTTCTTTATTCAAGTTTGGGATCGGTTGTCTTACACTACAAACAAAACACATGAGGAATTAAAAAACTTTTTTTGGTATGGATTAGCAAGACCTAAGACTGGGCATCGGACCGGGTTGTACCAATTGGGTCCGGTTCCGGTTCCGTTCCAGTTGGGTCCGGTTCTGGTTAATTATTTTTTTATTAATTAAGTTATATTTTATAATTTATATATAGGCATATTTTCAAAAGGAAAAAAAAAATGGATTGGATTGATATTATTTTAATTTGTGTCATTGTTTTATCCTTATTTTTATTTAATTTTTTAAAATTACAAACTTAAGTTATTTAAATTACTAGTTATAAGTATAACTTATAACATATTAATAAGTAATAACATATAAACTTCAAAATTTCAAATCTTCAAAACTTAAGCTCAAAAACTTTATTAAACTTAAACTTGCAAATTTAATAAGTAAAGATTTTTAAAAAAATATCTTTAAAATAAATTTAAGTAAAATTACATTATAAATTTTAAAACTTATTTCAAAACAATTAATTTAAACATAGAAAAATAAACAAACATTCATATTTTCGTAATTCAAAAAATCAAAATAATTAAAAAATATATATTATTTTTTGAAATAGCTATATGTGTTGTACCGATTATCCCATCCCGTTCCATTCCGATCTGTTTCGGTCCGGTCCGATTCCATCCCGATTATAGTAGGATGGGACGGAACCTAGTATATCCCGGTAATTCACGTCTAGTTCATCCCGGTACCGATCAACAAACCGGTCAACCCGTCCCTTTCCCGTCCGATATCGGTTCATACCGGTCCGTTGGTTCCGGTCCAATCCGGTGCCCAGCCTTAGCATGACCTGCCATCACTTTACAATCATAGATAAGTCACCTTAATTCTTAGCATAGTCACGTCACCTTGAATAGTTGAATTAACAATTGAAGAATATGTAACAAATCTACAAAATATTGAATGTCATGATGGCTCCTTGAATTTATTTTAAAATCTTAAATATTCCATTACAAGGCATTGGATCAGGCTAGACCAACTGAAATGTGCCAACTCTCTGTGTATAGAATGTGTAAGGAAGAGAAATGATCAAGTTCAATGAAAGAGTGTATTTTACGAGTATATTTCTACTATCACGAATTAGGTATGACCTAACCCAACTGATAGTGAGCGTGAATATTTTGGAAAAAAAAAGTAATTCAAAGGCCTTAGTCTTCGACTTTTAGCTAAGCAACCAAGTTCCTAGTTTAGCAATAGAAATATAGTCCTCAATTACTTGGAGTTAACAGTAGTTAAAGAAAGTAGAGAAATTTTTTAATCTTCTGGTTTCAGACTAAAGATCTGTAGAATGTATCAAAATATCCTTTAATCTTTTGGTTTACGACTAAAAATTCGTAGAATGTACCAAAATATCCATTAATCTTTTAGTTTAAGACTAAAGATTTGTAGACCAAAATATCCATTGATCTTGTGGTCTTGAACATATCATGTGGAAAGATCATGGCGCATTGTATGTTTGTGTCCCTCGTCAATAAATTAATCTATATTATCAACTCTCTATTCTATTCGATCACAAGGCACTAACTTGGATCCTAAAACCAAAGTCTTCTTCCTTCACCCATGATAGCAACCATCATGATAGCACTACATATATATAGATTATAAGATCACGGCTCATGATTGAAAGCTATATACCATATTGTATCTATACACCCTCAGATCACAACTTAACATATATATCAAAGCCTAGTTAATCTAACCCCCAAAAGCATCCTTCCACTACAACCTAATTTGGCATTAGTTCATATGAAATACTACCATGTATTTCTAAACTAGTTACTAGAAAACAACGTAAACTTTTTTTTTAAAAAAAAAAAGTAGAACAGCAAAACACAAACCTTTTTTTTTTTTTAAACCGAAGTAAAAACATCATAAAAACCACAATTTTTTTTTTGAAAACATAGTCAAAACAACTAATACAACTAACAATTTTATTTATTTTTTTAAAAGAACGTAAAACAAAAACACAAAAACCTTTTTTAAAAAAACTAAGTAGAAACAACTAACACAACTAACAATTTTTTTTTTTGAAAAGAACGTAAACACAAAAACACAGAAACAATTTTTTTTGTTTTGAAAACGAAGTAGAATCGAACAAAAAAGAATTCACTTTTCATCAAACACTTACCAACGGCTCCTACCGCCAATGATTGTCAAGAAATCTCTTTCGGCTAGAAGATCATCGTTAAATTATCTTCTTGCACTTGCTTCTCCCATGATTCAACCTTCTTCTTTATCTCTTCCTCATCAAACGTTTCGCCAAGAACTTGTTGCTGGGACTTGAATCTGACGTTGGTGTAGTGTTTCTTCAAACATCGCGGCCCCAAAAACCTTATTTTCCTTTTCCAATTTACTAACCTCAATGGTAAGATCATTATTATCATCCGTAGCATCCAAACTGTTCCTCTTCTTCGTGTACCATTATCAGAATGTAACAACAATTATAAGAACACTAATTAAGATATAATGTGGAAGTAAGAAAAGTGAGAAATTAAAAAACTAATAATAAGATCATATTTTATTTTTACGAAAATTAATCATATTTTGTATGGGAATAGATGCATTAGGTAAGTTTCTAAAGCTAACAAAATTACTTGTCCAAAATTGTATGGGAATAGGTGTAGAAGTTTCTTAAACTAAAAAAATTAATTACTTCTTTATTGAACCAAAATATGGAAACTATTGCAACATAACTTATTCATCAAGTATCAAAATCATTTAATTGGATTTTATTTTTATTAAATTTTTTAGTAAATTCAAAGTATAAATGAAGTAGTTTTTATATAAATTTGTTATAAAATCTAATTTGTAGTTTAATATTACGTCCGTTGCTCACTCTCTTTTATTCTCGAGTATGTATATTGATTTTTGAGTCTTCGTTATCATTAACAAAAAAAATTATTCTAAATTATAATTTGGAATCAATTTAAAGGAATTTGTTTAGACTAAGATACAAGAATTGTGACATTGTAGTTGAGTGAAAGAGAAGAAATGTGGCATGCAGTTTTTTTTAATTAGGATAAAGTGAACAAAGATATTGAAATTGTTAATTTGTAATGGAAACAAACATCCAAGTAATACATAAATTGGAGAAAGGAGAACTTCAAAAGAAATTAAGCATTCGTTTGATCAGAAAAATAATTTACAGATCGATAGTATAAAATGTTGACTATTATTTGGTGGTGGAAACGGGCACAATCGATTTCTCACAACTTGAATTTTATTATATCAAAGTAAGGACCCGCTTCGGTCTTACAATCTTGATCATTAACTTGTTGCTTGCCTCAGCAACACTCTTTACTTAGCACTCACTCTTGTTTTCTTGCTTACTTTCTTGGTTTGTTACTTACTTATTAGTTACTTGCTTACATATCAAATGAACCACCTCTATTTATAAGAGGTGATGGAACAATTTTTCTACTCTATTCTAGAATATTTCTTCAATTACTTAATTTTAGAACTACCCTATCTAGAACATTTCTAGACTATTCTCCAAAAAAAATATTCTAGAGATCTTCTTTCAATTCTCTATAACTTCGGAATATTCTAGATTTTTCTTGACTTATCTTAAGTAAACAATTAAGCTGGTGATGAATTCTTAACGTAAAAGACTCCCCACACTATGGATATATGTATGTAACTTAAATTCATATCTCCAATCTCATAGTACACACATTATTTATAACATATTTGTATTAGATAACACTATCATTATGTTACATTAAAAGTAGCTGGCCATAATAGAAAACAGGGAAAAAAAGAAATGAGGCCGTTCCTTTGAATCTTTCTCTTCCTTAATAGGGGATAAATGGGCGGCCGGTTGAATCAATTTTGCTAACCACACATTATAGGTAAGGGATAGCAGCCCAAGCTATAGAATTGTTAATCATTGTAGCAATCGAATGAAAATAACATGAATTTCACATAATTTGAGGTTATTGAATATTATATTAAAAAGAAATAATTCATCATCATTCAGTTAGGATTAATAGGTCGATAACTCAATATGAAGAGTAAGCTAAAGGAGAGGTCATTTTTACGTAAGCTCGAAGAGCTCTATATTTTATTGCAACATTTAAAAATATACTAAAGTATGATGTTGAAATGGGAGCATTGCAATCATACATAAATTGAGCAAAGGACCTCAAAACAAACTAAACCAAAGGGGAAATTAAACAAAGCATTTGAGAACATGGAAATGTTGGAAAATTTTGGCTATGACAAAATCTGGCCAAAATTAATTAGTCAGATTTTGCAATTATGGTAAGCAAGAAATCTCTGTAGCTTCCATTAGCAACTTCTTGAATTTTTGCAGCCAAGGTACTTCCATATTTGCTCTGGAATTCTTCTTTGATTAGCTTCATATCATTTTCGTCCGCTCTTGTAACTATGACTCGAGTCACTGAGTCTTTAGCAGATTCTTCCACATCCAAACTTAAGGATGCAATCAAAATCTACGCAATAAATGAGAAAAAAATCAAACAAAAAGGGGAGAAATACAAGAATGTACGATATATTTATCCCGTTGGGTGATTGGTATTTACCTTGCTGAAGTATGTTTGAGGTGAACAAAGGCATTGAACTACTTGTTTCAAGATCAAGTCACCATCAAGATCCTGAAGAAGAAAAAAATTGACATTATCAACAATCTTAACTTCTATGAATGGTCAGTGCATAGAAGTTGAACTCTTTTTTTTGTTACCTCGTCCAAGAAGTTGCCTGTCATTTCCTTGTAGTGGCTACAGATGGCCTTAAGATGGAGCTTGCTTCGGATTGAGAGTATCCTCACAATCTCTTCGTCTTCAATTAGATTCTTCTTTTTAGCATCTTTTAGTGCATTCACAAACACCTTAGCCTCAGATTTTGCTAGATCGTCGTTCACTTTTGGCCCTTCATAACGGTAGGTACTCACAAGAGCAACTAGAAGCTGTTAATCACAAGAAATCTGACTTTAGACGAGCCCCACAAATAATATAAAATAAAATTAGTGCTTATATACAACTTAAGTCATAAAAGAAAGACCTTTCTTTCGTGAGCTTTGATATGGTGAGCAATGTCTTCCTCAAGTGAGTGTTCGAAAAGTGAATGATACGCTTTTCTAGCACCCAAAAGATCTTCAGAGGATCGAGTGCAAGCAGTCTCAATGAGAACATCATGTTGAGGTATTTTCAATAGCAACGCCTCTTTAAACAAACGTGCATCTCTTTCCCATGGGTGCATTGTGTACAACACCACTGCATCCTACAATAAATATTCGACATTTATTTTTTTTTGACGTAAAATGGACATTTCTTATATTTTACAACTTTTTTATACCTTAAGACGCAAAAATTCTTGACGAAGCTGAAGGATATGGTGATCACTCCATCTCTGGAATTGGCGTTCGTCTTCGTTGAAGAATCCAGGAGTGCTTACTCTGTACGATTCCCTCTGATAGCGATTCCATCTCCCTAATGATGAAATGAATAAATTCTCATCCACACCAAGTCCTACAAATTTGTATTTTTATAAATAAAAAAATTAAATAAAAGTGTATCAGTTTCCAATCATAATTGAATTCTGTTAAATTAGGCTTTGGATCTAACTCATGAACCTGAGAAAGCTTTGGTTACAGCTGCAAATTCATTAGCCTCTGACATTTTTTTTCTTCTGTTATTTTTCTCTGTTTTTGAGTTTTTGTGTAATAAAGAGAGAGAAGAAAGTTGAGAGTTGAGATGTGGGACTTGTGATTCAATTGCAACTATATTTATACGAGTTATTAGGGGTACTTCTGTCATTTAATCAATTACTAACCGGGTACCTAAGTTTTGAGTAAAGGCGAAAAGACCAAAGTAACCCTCTGTATATAACGTAGCATTCTTGTCCCTTTAATTAATAAAGTAATGAATTTAAAATTATAAAGACGCGTCCATTAAATTGTTGCTTGTAACGCCATGCGTTATTAAATTAAACAAAAATAAGTCAAAAGTATTTAAGTACATTATTTTAAATAAATTAAATCTCTATGAAATCTTCTTCATTAATGTTTATTAAATGAAGATATGTTTTTTATGCTTTATTTATGTACCATGAGCTTCCCACGTCCTTGTTTAATATTAGTATATTAATTAATGAAGACATCTAGAATAGTTTAAACTGATATTACTAGCGGTTTATTTCTAATCAAAGCAATATTTTGGTTGGAATTTACTTAAGCTGTTATAACTTATTTAATAAAAATCGTTATTGATCAAGTTAATTGTATCAGTTTAGTTATTTCTTTCTCCCTTCTTGTGATCTCAATAACTTCATTAACGGAACACTTTTATGTCGTCATTGGAGTTTACAACTAGTAATTAATATTGTTTAATTCTTTTCCTTTTATTAAACTTTATTGAAACATATTTTTTATTTGATGTTTAATAAGCAATATGTAATTAATTCTTTTTGTTTTTTATTTGATGTTTGATATGTGTTTTGTGTCCTGATTAATTTGAATTCATGAAATTCGATCTTTAAACTTGAAAGATTGGTCATGAACTAATGAAGATAACCTAAAAAATAAAATGTGGATCAATTTAAAAGAGATCTACCACTACACTACAGTTTGCTTCTTGTTCATAAGGGGGTTTAAAAGTAATATATTTGAATAAATATAGAAATCTATCTTAAATATAATATATTTTTTTGTCGAAAGAATTCACATAAACCCACATAGATCCACCCGCATAAAGAGATGATCGTTAATCATATAATTAAGGAGTTTATTCTCATTCATTTTTTTTTTCATCCGATCCAATGCAGGATTCCCATGCTAATAATTGAGGCCAAGTCTTCATAGTTTATTTTTAAAAAAATATCACTATATATCCATCATATTTATTATCGTCCATACTATGTCAATCGTTGTGAAGACATTCTAGTTATTTAATTTTTCCCTATGTCATGTTTTAAAAATGAAAATCACGTGCAGCACAACTGTAAATTATTAGTTTGTTCAAACCATGAGAAAGTATTATTTAATATTTTTTTTGTTTATTTTTATTTGTTATATTTAACTCGACATACTGTATTTTCTAAGAAGCAAAATATATAATAGTAATTTTACTATATCATTCCTAGTTACTAATCGATCATCTTACTCATTCAAATATGAATTGGAATTGATTGCTATGTAATAATAAGAGCAAAACAAATATAAAATGTAAAGAATTTTTTTGATTTTCTAAATTAAATAAATATTTATTTTTAGTATAGTGAATCAGTAAAGACGGATCGAGGGTGGAACAATCTTGTTGTCCCTATTGAAATCCGATGAACATTTGTTACTAAATTTTATAAACCTTATTAAAATAATAATTGACTTAAATGATAGTATGGCACGCAATGCTGTTCTCTAATAGAATAAAAATAAAATACAAATATAAGAACATCAAGAATTGAAATTATAAAAATATAATTAATTATTTGTGTGAACAACGAGTAATGGGCACATCAAGCTATCATGTGAAAGAGATATATGATCCAACATATTATAAGTTACCCTTTCATAATTTGGTTGGTATATATCTAATCTTTCTAGCATTAAAATTTAAATAATGCGTGCTACTCGTTAATATTAATTAGTAATATATATATATATATATATATATATATATATATATATATATATATATATATAAACACATCATCTTCAATTCAAGCAAAAAGAGTGTGTTGAGTCAGATAATGTACTTTTTGTTGGAGAAAATTTTAGAAATAGCAAATATAATAGATATAATAAGACTCTATAGCTCTAAGATAATGGAGAAATTCTTGTTAGGAGTACTTTTTCCTTTAATAATCTTATAATCAAAACTAGTAGAGTAACCATTAACAAATGGTTACAAAAATGAAATAGGAGATTAGTTTATTTCTTTATCCCACTGAGATACGTATAATTGTTTATGTAAAACAATAATTTACTTTATATATTTTTCTTCTCCTTTTCAAGTATAATATTCAAATCATTCACATGATGTATTGCGTTCATTAATTTCTTCAACAGTTTATCATTGTATAATATTATTCTGAAATATTGGGCGATGAACACATTCACAGTTTCACACAGGCTTATGCAACTCGTATTCGAATTGATCGTCCGCATACAAATTAATTATTAAAAAAAACATGGAATTGATAAAAATGAGGTTATCTCTTAAACAGTTTTGAAAATGATTTTCTATAAATATTGTTTATCGAACTAGAAAAAGGATTTTAGTTCAATAATCATCTTCAACTCAAAGTATCTATATTTTAGTGTTTAATACTAAATAAAATATTTTTCTTGAAAAACAAATGAGTTTCTTAATTATATTTATTGTTTGATGGGCATTATTGTAATTGGATATAGATGGAGGAAATCAAGAACTATACGAAAGTCAATTTTCGAGAAAAAATATTTTAATCAATCAAACATTACAAAACGAATTTCAAAACTAACTCATAAGGAAAAAATTGTCCAAGACATATAACTAATTGGGGAGACTATTCATTATTTTTTTTCATCCGATACAGGACTCTATGCTAATAATTGAGGCCAAGCATTTATTATCGTCCATACTATGTCAATCGTTGTCAAGATATCCATGACTAGTTATTTTTCCCTATGCCATGTTTTAAAAATGAAACCAGCATAGCAAAATCAATTTGTTCACACCATCAGAAAATATTAATTATTTAACATTCTCTTCATCTACCGTTATTTACATTTGTCTTCATATACAATTTAAAAAGTAAAAAATATAATAAATAATTTTATTATATCACCTCAGTTATTAGTAATCATCTTACTCATTAAAAGATTAATTGGAATTAATGACTAATAGCAAAATAGATATAAAAAAGTAAATTATTTTTTTACATTCTAAATTAGATAAATAAAAATGAATATTTATTTTTAATATATGGAGAAATAAAGTTGGACGGGGACCATAAGTGTATTATGTCCTTGTCTCTATTGAAATCCGATGAACACTTGTTACTTTTAAATTTGTATAGAGTTTATTAAAATAATAATTGACTTAAATGACACCCAATATTGTTCTCTAATAGAATTAAAAATAAAATATAAATATAAGAACATTAAGAATTGAAATTATAAAAATATACTATCAAATTATTTATGTGAGCAACGAGTAATGTGCACGTACTCAAGACTATCAGATTTTGAGAATCTATGGTCATTTTAATGCCATGTGAAAGATATATTCAACAGACTATAAGTTACCCTTTCATAATTTAGTATGTATATATATAATCTTTTCATCATTAAATAAATATATCGTGCTAGAAGAAAATCTCTATTGTGGTGCAATAATGCATGATATTAATTAGTACTAATATAGCATATTATCTAACTTCAATTCAAGAAAAAAGAATGTGTTGGGACAGATAATGTACTTTTTTGTTTTCTATAATGTATTCATTTACATCTATCTTTGACCTGATGATATAATATATTACGTGTTTAGATAATCCTCTTCAAGTAAAATTTGGTATTATCTATCTCCTATTGTGAGACCGAAAATAATCAACTAGAAACTACTTAATTATGTCTTAAATTAATCGTTTTAAGTTTAAATTAGTAGCCTAGAATGGAGAAATTCTTAGAAGTATTTTTTTTTTCTTTTATAATTTTATACAATAATTATATACGATGTGAATCAAACAATTAAAATAAACAAAGTATTAAATAAGAAATGGATATAAAAATGAAATAGGAGGATAGTTTATCTCTTTATCCCTCCAAGCTACAATTGTTTATGTAAACCAATAATTTACTCTTTTTTCTTCTCCTTTTCAAGTATAAAATTCAAATCATTCACATGTTGTATAATTTCTTCAACGGTTTATAATAACAATATTATTTTGATAAACGTTAGGTGATGAACATGCACATTCACACGACGTACTAATGCATCAATTATCTCGAATCTCGATGTGAAAAAAGATTCACACATGAACCGTGCTTTAATTAAAGGGTATTTATTATTCTATTATATAATTTGGTTTTAGCTTTTATGTCTTTTTTTTTTTGTTAATTTTCACCCCATTGTCTAAGACACTTACTTTTTGGGAGTGATTCAAAATACCATTGGAAATCCATTTTGAAAATTACCAAAGACGACTTCAATTTTAAAGGGTTATGCAACTCGTATTCGAATTGATCATGTCATACAGTTGGTTATTTAAAAACATGGAATTGATAAAGATGAGGTTATCTCACTTTATCCCTTAAAACAGTTTTGAAAATGACATTCTATAAATACTGTTTATCGAACTAAAAAAAGGATTGAAGTTCAATAATCATCTTCAACTCAGCGTATTTATATTTTAGTGTTTAATAATAAATAAAATATTTTTCTTGAAAAATAAATGAGTTTCTTAATTATATTTTATTGTTTGATGGGCATTATTGTAGTTGGATATAGACGGAGGAAACCAGGAACTATACGAAAGTTAATTTTCGAGAGAAATATTTTAATCAATCAAACATTACAAATCAAATTGAAAAAAGGGCCACGCGTACAAGGAGAAAACGCAGCGAGTTTGAAGAAAGTAAAATTTCAACGTAGGGGTATTACGGTCTAAGCAAAAGATAAGGGCATTAAGGGGCAGCGAGCTAAAAAAGACTTTTTCCTTTATTTTCGTTTTTGCCCTTTTCTGAG